GCGCCCAGGGGGGGGACAGGCAAGGGGATCCACTCTCCACAGTATTATCCATTATGGCAATTATGTTCGTTCTTGGATTGTCGATGCCGCGACTAGGGTATCAGTTCCATGACACCTCTGACCACTGAGCAGTATGTGCGCTCGTCTTAGAAGCTTGAAGGGTTCTTGGATTGTCGATGCCGCGACTAGGGTATCAGTTCCATGACACCTCTGACCACTGAGCAGTATGTGCGCTCGTCTTAAGGAGAAGCTTGAAGCTGCCGCGGTCGACTTGCGACGAGCTGGGATGGTGATCAACGCCCGAAGGATGGAAGGAATTGTGATTTGTGGGGGCAGAAAACACCGGGCTACCGCCGTCTCAGCCGAACTTTTTTGCTTCGCCGAGGAACTTATCAATGGTCAGACAGGCACCGTGACATATTTGGGCGTTCCCTATACGGAGAGAGAAGTCTGAAATCACCGACAGTATCTACCCAAACTGCTTGATGTGGCGGCGCATGCCCGATTGGAGCCAACCAAAAAATGAAGATCATCAGGAACTAACTGATACCGAGGCTGGCACATTCGCTGGTGCACGGACAAGTCCGCCGAAACGCGCTTAAAAGGTTGGACAATTATCAGGCAATCTATTCGTGAGTGGCTACGTCTACAAAGGACACCCTGATTAGCTACATCCACATGGGGAATTTGATATCCCAAGTTTGTGTACAACTATCCTAATGAAACACAGGGCGCGCATGAAAAGAAATTTTCTACCCGGTGCCAATGTGCTTAATGATTCCGCATTTGGCAAGGTTGTTCGGAATCCCAGCCTTCCGATCCAAGTCCAAGGGACATGCAAGAACACCAAGGAGGAGCGGGTGCCTGCTTGGGACGATAATCGACACAACAGCGTACACGGTCGTTGTTTTTCGGGAATTGGTCATTTCACATCTCTCGAATCGATGGCTTGTGTTCCCAGAACAAGCGTTCTCTCGAATATTTATCCGTGGTATCCAGCTCCGATTCAACCTGCTTAGGAGGGGAGTTCTCTGTCTAGGCTTGGGCAACCTGGCAGTATCCCAGCACTCGTGCTTCCTCCGGGTGGCATGGCAGCTAGGCGCCGGAAGGGTGCTACAGCTGAACGCTTTTTTCTCCTTTTTAGGAGGAGAGTTAGAAGTGCCCGGTGTGGTCATGATCTAGGACAGCCGATCTTCTGTCGTGGAACCTATGACCAACCGGAAAGTTTGGTGCACATTCTGCAGTCCTGCTAGATCACTAATGATGCTAGAAGTGCTCGTCATAGTCGAGTTAAAAGGGAACTCGCGAAACGTCCCCATCGCTTGGAATTTACGGTCTTCGAGGAGTTCAGAGCACCTACGTCGATGTTCTACATTAAAAACCGATTTAATTACTATCCGGTAACGCCGAATAACTGTGACAGACGTAAGCATGGATGGGCGCGGAATGACTATGTGGAATGAGAAGAAGCAGAAGTATGGTGCTGATGATTGTTCCCTCGCCATCATCCCGGCCCTACATACAATGGATTGTGATTTCGATTTTTTAGTCCATCAACCAATGACCATATCGAGGGATCTGCTTCCCTTAATCCGCCAAGGTTGTTATTGAACCGGGACTTCTGAAGGTTACAGTCAATGACTTGTGTTTGTTGGTCATTTTCGGCTCTCTACTTATCCACGACAATTGTATGCGTTGTACGTTCTATTGAGTGTTGATTCTTGCCACTGACTTTCACCCCTGACCCAGTATGAAGGACACTTTGTGCTTGATGTACGAGTCTTGACTGTGCTAGCGCTGACTGAGCCTTGAAAAGCATTCAGGGTTGTTTGTCCTTTCTTTATTTGCTGGCCTTTACGCGTGTTTCCATACCAAATATTCTTACACGTTGAGATTCATCCTGTCCGACTGGAACAGTTGGTGATACGCCTTCAAATGGGACGCTTCCAACGCTTTATCTAATATTCTCCAGCACACCCTTCCAAATCTATCACCCCAATTTACCTTTTACGTTTGTGACCATGCTCTTCATAAACAAGCGATCATGATAGTATTGAAACAGAGCTAACCGAAGTCTAATGACTAGCCTCTTACTAGGAATGCTACCCGTACCACAAAACCTCTCAGTAGGACCAGCAACCGCAAGTATCGGCCTATACTAGGTGTATTTTCCTCCGCTCTCTCCAAACTTCTTGGGAAGGATTTCTGCTTTGTTTTAAAGAAACCAAGGTATGTTTCGGTAGGCATTGGAATTTCTAGGACTACTCGTTGATATTCGGGTCACCAAACACAATGCGCCTTGATAAATCAGTGTCCCTCTAGATACTCAACACTCACCTTACTCTGCCTTTACAAATTTCATTCTCCTTGAATATCACTATCAGAGAGAATGAAATCAATGTTGACGTTGATGCCTCACTAACATACAAACACAGGACTTATCTACTTATATTTGAAGTGGAAAAAACTGGACCGGGTGTCAGCCTAAACCGAGCGTTCTGAGACGCTTTGAAACATTCAATCAGATAACCTGGAAAGAAACTGACAGTACAAATGGCACTGACATCGGTTATCTGGCATTTATTGTACCGTCTACTCTGTATCCACGAAGCGACCTTCTGTTGGCGATGCTGATCTGAGTTTTACAGGAGGATGGCATGCACGAGATTTGGTTTCCATTCCATTCAGGAAGATTCGGTAGAGGAAGATCAGATTTTGATGTGTAGTATAAATTAGGTATTTCACACTGACATATCTGAGAACTGAGACCCAGATTGTGTCCAGCCAACGTGCACTTATTTTTCGGCACATCGACAATTTTTATGCCCGCTACTCTTATGAACCCTGAAGAGCTGGAACACTATTATTGTTTACCCAGTGGCCAACGCCTCCAATGAGTCTGCTGAAAGGCGGCGTTGCACGTACGGTTTCACGGTTATAAAAACAGGACCGGTTGACCACAACAGGCGCACTGTAACACAGACTGTTGGAACCCAGCCGAACGATCGTTAATGTTGTCTGGGTCGCTTGGTAGGTCTACACAGGCACTGAATGCATGGGGAACGTCCGATAATTCTGTTCAGTTCGATGGAAGGCAACAGGCACGTCGGTGGGTGTCCTGAAAACAAACTGAGGCAATCACAGCCATAGATGAAACTCGTAGGCCACTAAAGGTGCAGGCAGCTGTTGCGATTGTACCGATCACACAGAGAGTCTATAACACCGGATGTTCCTTAAGCCCCAGAGCGGTCCAGACAGCATTTCCTCTTTCTCTCTCGGCCGAGTTATAACAGGCCGTGCGACAATGGTTTCCAAACGGTTATCCCTCCCTACTTATGAATTTGGGGTGATGTGGGCACAGTACCAGATTTTAATGCATGTACTGAAAGCACTGGGCTCCGATTAATACAGTGGGTTCAAGTCCTTCAGAAGCGCATTGTGCACGTTCGGATTGCGCGTCCTGATTACTCTTCCCTAGAGAGAAAGGCGGCTAAATTCCGCACTGATCGACAAGGTGACACACCGTGTGCTAACAGGTACGAGGTGAACCGAGGTGCGTCAACTCAAGATGACGCTGAGAGAACCTGGCTTCCTACGTTCTCCACATGGTTTAGCGACACAATTTACCGCAATTCGGTCAGGAATAAATGCTGTTGTCGGCTTCTAATGGTCATTTCATACAACTGGATTTGGAAAAGTGAATAATTTAACGTGGGTCGCCTGCTTAAATTCGAAACATTGCCAGGCGATTCCTCAGGCGTTGACCAAACGAGGTAGTATGTTGGAACATGGCTAAACCCAAACGGAAATAGGGTCTATCTATCATAGATATTGATAGTTACGCAGACTTCAGTCAACGAATACTGGCAAAGGATAAACCAAGAGTATGAGAACTGATAAAACAAACTCTGATATCAAACTTTTCTCACTGGGGTACCCAAGCACCGTCGTTTCAGGAACTAGGCAAAACACCGGATATTCTTATTGATCACTGATCCCCGCTCGTCAGACATTGTGCTACCTTAGAAGTGACCTTAAAGGGGAAAGTACAGTTGTGTGGCACAATGATAAACGGCACGGCAACCTGAGTTGGAACGATCAATTAGATAATATAACGGACCAGTTTGGATACACTCAAGAGTTCACATTTTAGAAGTACGCATCGTCTGGTGTGATTAAATTATATGACGAATGTAGTGAAGCAGTCAGGAAAGACAAACAGCCAATTCTTGTAGGAACGTGCTCTCCACTTACAAGTGGCCATCTGCAATAAATAGCCCATGTGAATGGCTTTGACAGATGTTGAAGATTGGTTTTTGTGCCTCCGTTTATAAGTACGGGAGAGCAAGTGGCAAAAACGATCCCGGAAGCAGAACGACAATTTTTCCAGAAATAGTACTTCGGTAATTTCCATCAATGGGAACAGTCATTCTTTTGAATTTGTGGGTATCTGCCTCATCCAGTTACATAGTTATCAGCCCTAAGACATGGGTTGTATTAGTGTGCTTGCAATGGTTGCCCAGCAAGCTTGTTTTTTCGAATGAGACTGTGCCGTCCTAAAAACTTGAGACTAAACGAGTATTAAAACTGGATTAGTCTGCCTTCTTGCGCATTTGCCCCGAACAACTGTCCACAGTCATGTACCGTGGGACGTCGACGCCAGGTTTAGTGTACATCCACCCTATAACGAATATAAGACGAACGGGGAATCCTTTTTCAGTCTTGCTGATACCAACCAGTGGCAATGTAACCAGGGGCATGATGACCCCATTCTTTGCCCGGACGTGAGGCGAGATATTTGATCAGTGTTTTACATAGACTGGATCTCGTCTGGTATAAATAGTCGAATTTTTTAATACTATTATGTACGTAAGGAGACGGACTTACATAGTATAGCATAGCGTCGTTTGCAACGGTCCGTTGTGGCACGAATAGCTTGGGAGTTCTGTGGCTGTTTTTGTCCATCTGGTTGCCCATAGTGTGCTTGGGCTAATTTGCGAAGCTCTGACCAGTGGTCATACAATTCGTAAACCCACGCGGAAGTTTTCGTTCCGTCCGGGAAGCGAGCCAACAGATGACGGACAAACTGACATTGTGCCCACTTAGCTCTGGCCCACTGTTGGCGTTCATCACTCGAACTGTGTACGTTGGGTCGATGTATTCGAGTGGGATCCTTGGTGAGGTTTGCCTCGAAAATTCGATTGACTAGATTGTTGCCCAAATTGAGCATCAAATGCAGTAGTTCCGGCTCCCAATTGTCAAGAGTCAGAGATCGTATCTGCAGAGAAAAAAAGCCTTAAACAGTTATGTACAACAGTTTCGAGCTATATTCTACGGACATACTGATAAAACTCTAGAACGTCCATGGTGCATATATGTGACCCTAATGACAATTCATTACATAAAAATGGTTGGAGTTAAATGCCTAGTATTTCCAGTAGAGTGAGGAATAGGGAGGCGGGAACTGCTCGTTGAGGACGATGGTTCCTATGCGTTAAAGCTATTTGTGGGTGAGAGGGAATAAAAGTTGTTAGTGTGTCAAAACTCCAAAGGTTGCTGGCCAAAGGGAGAAGATCACACAAACCGAGTACTTCAGCCGGTGAATTATTCTGAGCCCAACTTCAATTGTTTCATTTTGCTAAATAAATATACCAACGGTAGGTAAAACAATACTGGTTGTCTCGCGCTAAACTCCAAGGCTCCAAGTATTATTCACATGTGCGCTCGGAACAGGCCGGGTGATTAGAGCTCACGACACATAGTGTAATGTGCATTGTGTTTGTAATCGGTGGTGGATTCTCTTACGGCTGTGTAACACAAAATGGATATCTGGATAGATCTTAGGGGAGAAGCACTCGCCTAGAACCCCAACCAGTGAGACATTTTGATTCTGTCTAACGGGCGTTCTCTAGTGACGAACCTCTTGTTACCCTGGCTCTACAGATGATCAAGCAAAGAGTTCCTCTGGAAGGTACAGTTCTATGCGGAACGCATTGCTTTTCTCGGTCACATATTATGAACAGAAGACCTCAACGTCTTGGGGGTATCATGGAAGCTAGCTCATGTGGGGCACCCTGAAAATGCAATTGGATATAGCACAAAAAAATAGTACAGTATTCCCCTCCCACTAGGCAATGCTCTTTGTGACCGATGGCTTCAGTGCTTGTTGGCAAGGTTGTTGCTTGCTGCGGCGTGTGTCAATAACCCTCCCAGATTGCCTTTTTCCAGAAGTTTTTGCAAGTCAGGTGAATAAATAAATAGCACGTTCAACAACCCACGACACTTGTTTACATCTCGCTGTTGAACATCCTCCTAACGTCCCAAGCTTTGCTCCAGGGGACTGAAATTCCGTTGACCAGGCCGTGTGAACAAATTCAGTGATAGCGGTGGAGTAAACCATGAGTGTGCTGCCGGAGTTGACAAAGGGGTGTACTTTCCACCAGCTGGGGCAACATGTCAAGCCTGCTATACGCTGTAACTAAGACCTGTTGCTCTGAACGTGTGCAATATACGTGCCACACTCAACCACCCTCTCCAGCCGACGGCCATATCGAAAGGTAGGTGAGCCCTGTGCGTTTTATTCGTCCAATAAAATAAACCGTTGCTAAAATGACACGATCGGAATCCAGCAGCAAGACAACCGTACCGGACTTGCCTGGCCAACCGCACTTTACAGGGTCATATATATATATATATATATATATATATATATATATGACGGCTGATTATACCCTCAGAGAGGAGCGTTTACGTTTTGACCTGCTGGTTCTCAGCGGTTTTGCTGCAAAACTTTTAGACGGCACGTGGTGACCTCTTAAATTAAAATACAATGGCTATCGTGAATATCAAGCAAAAATCATACCATACTAGAGATGGAATGCTCCCAGTGAGACATTCCTTGTAGCGTGCTTTGAGGTATACCGTTTAGTGAGAGGTATTTTATGGTGTACAATTTTCGGTCCGCTGGAGTCACTTCCTACAGGTGGAATGTTACATGTCGGAATGTTACGTGTTGCGGAAGTACTGTACATAATAATGCAACCGCTTACTTTGGATACGTGAACACCAAGACCACGATGGGCTGCGGCACACTGAGTACACAGGGTGACACCCAAATTGATGCTAGCCCAAATAGCTTCATCAGCAGCACAATCAGCACACCGGCGATTTCCCGCCCTGTCTGGTTCACGCCATAGTATGACGCCACCCTGACTTCGCAGTAGATCATAGTCCGGAAGTGACTGTTGAGAAACACCGGCGAACGTTGTTCGTACACTGTTACTACGATTTTGGTCACCGTCCAGGTTCCCTATAGACTGAGCAAGCAGTGGTGGGGTGCCATGTGGGAGACCCCCAAGGTCGTCGGGGTTCTTAGACCTGTCGTTGTAACTGGTATGCCCAGAAGGTTGTTGAAGATGCAACAAGCCAGATCGGAGCGCCTGCATCCAGCGTTCCTTCTGGTCATAGGAATCAGCTTGCAACAAGTGGATCCGATTTCCGGGGGCGATCAATTCGAAAGTGAAGCGTCTGTCTGGCGTGGAACAACTCTCTCGAGCAGTACATAGTCGTAAATCTGATTCCATTGTCTTCCATTGGGGTTCGAACTGGCGTAGCAGACGGTCGGACAGATTTGTCAGCAGATCATCTGACAGGGTAGTCGGCGTCAAAGTAGCTGAAGTCGCAGCGACACTGGTACGTTGATCATCCAGGCGAAAATTACCATTAGCTAACACAATTGTACTACCACTCGTTTGATTGTTGTGTATTTGGTGGCGAATTTCCAGCAAAGCTGCATCAGTGACTGACTTCAAGTCTGACCTGGAGAGATTGGTGACAGGCTTGCAATACATGAGTTTGTTATCCCGCAATCGGAACCAACGGCGAGCCCAAGTGCGCCATGAACGCGTTGCAGCACGTTTGAACAGGTAACCTTCCAGTGTAACACCTTGAGCTGTGGGACGACTGGGTTTGTGTTCTTCTAGGTTGTGTTGATTGGTATATTGGTCCCATGTCGAAGCACTCCGCCGACCGGTTTCCACCCACGTAGTCAGTCTGTTCAGGAAACTCCCTAACAAGAAATGCGAGATTGGAGAAGAGTTTTTCTCATCAACATTTTTGTCCAGATGTTCAACGAATTCCTGGATGGCAGACACAAGTGCGCTGTTTGCATGCAAGTAACCCAGCATGGGACTAGAGCCGATAGCATTCCGCAAACCAGTAAGGTAAGCTGAAGCGGTTGCCCGATACATATTACGTAACTCCGTCACGTGTGTATCAGTGGAATTGACATCAGTTTGGGATCTGCTAGTGTTCAAGTTTGCTGACCGTTGCATAAATGAGTTCAACTGTTCCCCACTGTGATGGAAATTTGCACGCAAATCAAACAGCCGATCATGCTGCCTCCTTGCATCTACGATAATTCTCTCCGGTTCGTCTAGACGGTTTACTAGTTGAGCAGCGTAGGAAGCGAATCCAATTAGGTACGAGTTGACTTGTTGCAGGCCACTTGATGCATCACAGTTCAGACCAGACCAGCGGGAAGGGACATCCGAGAAGGAGCACGTTGTCTTTGGTAACCGGTCCATATTCATGCAGTGTGCAAGGTTAGACAAAGCGGATGCAAACGCTTTCCCGGCCTAAACCACGGAAACAAAGAGACAAAGAAATAAAATCATCAGATACACAGCCATCCGCACTAAAATAGAAAACGCCTACCAGGCACAACCAAAAACAGGACTTCAGCAGCCAGCTTGAGCATGGTTCATGGAAGTAAGTGAAGTGAATCAAAGGGTGTAGCTTAGGCACAGTCGAAAATCGATAATGCGTCATTACTATTGGAAGATGAGAACACAGACCGAATAATGACCACGTGAGTTTGTTATGGAGCACCATTTCAGGCCACTTGTGTTGGTACTCATGAAGATCTACTCAATGAACGGAATCCATTTGAGTTCACTGTAAGGGACTTGTGTAGTGCCGTGTATTTAGGTACTATGACGTACGGTGACTCCCCACCAAAAAACACTGAGGTGGTCTTGACTGTGGAGTAATTCCGGTAGACCGTGAAGGGGAACATTTGCAAACCAATATTATTACTTTGATTTGCATTATGTTACGACAGTCTACAAGCTTTAGTGCTCACATTCATGCATCGGAAGTGCACGGCCTTGGGAAGACAGGTATTATGACCTATACATGTATGAATAAGTGATATTTTAACTCTTCAGCCTTAAGGCACATTTGCTTAGGCAACCTGCAAGTACCTCATTATTCATACTCCCTTTGGGTAGTATGACGGCTAGGCCCGGAAAGGGTCACAGCCTAACGACTAGAAAACGACGAGGAAATCGCGGGAAACAAACTAGTATGAGGAGAAACACGGGTTTCCAATACTACTTAGAATGTTGACGAGGATTCTGGACAGCACACTAGTGGTTTCGCCCCTCTGGGATCATCAGATAGGCTTAGTCCCCGAACCTGCTTCAGACTTATTTCCTACACAAACACATAGAGAGAAGTTATGGACAGTTCTACACATGCATCCATTTTCGTCAGTAATTTTCGCATTCCATCACGAAACCAAACGCATTAGGGGGAACCCAAACCACTCAAGGATGTTCAAACAGACATAGCAACATCCCCCAGCCATAGAATTTACATGGCAACAACCACAAAGTGAAGAAAGCATCGGAATTTGACTCCATTGTCGCGTTCAGTCGGCGAGATGCACTCAGAACTAAGCAGTTCAATATCATCCCCGCTCTCAACCCACCGGAGCTGGCTGAGGATCAGATTAACGTGGTGGCTTCAAACACCAGTTCGGTTCCTCCAGACATATGTGAACTGTTGATTGATAAGCTGATATCTATCAAACTTGGTAAGGGAATTCTTCTGCTTGTCTTTGCTGATCGAAAACAGCCTCAAGGTGAACAATGTAGCAAAACAATGATCTTCCTTTATATGTACGATCTCCGGGCATTCTATGAGGGAGTGCAAAATAAAATTTGGGTTTAGGAGGGCATTTGTATGGGAGAACCCCCGGGAGATTTCGGGCAGTGTTGGAGCCGTAAACATAAAAAAACGAAGCAAACCGTCAGGCGAGAATACCATAAGTGGAATTTAACACCGCCAAAATGATAAACAATAGATTGATCACTTGTAACACCCTTTCAGTGCCTAGCTGCCATCCTCCTCGAAGGAAGAACGAGGGCTGGGATACTGGCAGGTTGCCCAAGCCTAGACAGAGACAGCCAAGATGCAAAGGTCAGGTTCGAACCACGGACCTTCTGGTCGGTAAGTTCGCGCTTTAACCACTGAGCTATCACGCCCCCCTTCCCCCGGAGGGATAGTCAATGACAATAAACTGTTTCGATGAATCACGTAAGAAGTTTCAAGATTACAAACACGAATTCGAAGAGTGATTGAAGATGCGAACATCGCGAAATATGTTTCTGAGATGTGAGTAGATGACAAATTGCTTCAGGGGCGTACATGTTAAAATGACTAAGTTTACAGGTCATCCTCCGAGTAAAAATAGTTTGACCACTCGCTTAAGCGTTTGTCACAACAAAAGATCGCTGCAGCTTAGTAGTTCATGTTATTTAATAGGTGGGTTCGTTTTATCTTACTTCAGACTAACATTTCCGAGATATGGCGACGTCTACACCTAAAGACGTGCTCTGCAAACAAGTTCCGCGACACCACCAACACATATTCCTACAAACGCAAAAATTGCAAAATTCTATTCACTGAAATACAGACGTCCTCGAGTATAGTCAAATCAAATTTGCATGTTTTTCTATGCCGAGCGCACCAAACGTGCGTTTCACCGATAACCGGTTCGAAAATGAAGTCTTGGTGAGAAAATAGGGAACACTCTACAGAAGATACTAAATTATGAAATCATGACTGAAAAGACCGAGCATGCAAGAAAGCGGATTCGCCAGTTCCTAATGCAGGCGACTACACGTTTTGGCGTTGAACGAAGGAAATTTTTCAGGGTGGAAAGTAAGGGAGCCATCAGCAATAGCTCTAACGGTAAGGGATGATTAGTTCCTTATGTTGCGCTTATGTCTAACCAGCGGGTATGCAAGATCACCAGATATCTGAAGCACTAACTACAGAAAAAGTTGGAAATTCTAGTGCATATTCAAAAGAAGTGTTCCGGACAACAGTTTTGCTAAACTAGCACAAGTAGCGTGTGATCTGAGAGCATCTTCGGTGGGGTGGCATACTGCAATCCCGGACGGTAGATGCCCATGGAAGTACCAAAGTAGTCCTCCTGGATACAAGTGGAGACAACAGTTAAGATCCCATAACATCCGCAACATTGGTAGTCGGGTAGTAGATCGGTGTCAGTGGACTTCACATTCTGATCCTTGCTGAGAGGAGCATCTACCACTCAAGAGCGCCTAAACTCACTTTTCATGCGATGGCCTAGTAACATATAACAATTCCAAGGTCAACCTCAAAGGACCCAGAGAAAGAATCTCCTTTGAGAAAAGCGTATTTGGAAGACGATCGCAGACTTTTTGCCATAAAGCTGACCCGAACATATCTACCACTTTTCATTCCCAAGGCATGGCAAAGAAACACGATGGATCACCAAATGGGAAACGTGTTCATTTAGCTGCTCAAAAAAGTAGACGAAATGGGCGTACTGGCAGCAAATACGTTGCAGCCTGGTTGCAGGCACGAGGTAAACGGTAAACAAATTCGTCACAAGCAAAGATTATACGATATACGTTAAAATAAAGCGGTAATCAGCATATACATTAAAACAGAGTGAGAAAACGCTAAGCACTTTCGCTCACCGTGATAGCCAGCCGGCAATTTTCAACTGTTAAATCATATTGCGCCTGGATTCGAGCAGCAATTAATTCGGCTCTGCAAACAGCTTGCCGAAACACCGGAGAATCACGAAGTGCCTCAAGCGGAGTAAGGTGATTGAGGAAAGTAGTGTCGGATGGATGCAAGGTGTCACAGTTTCTTTGAGTAAACGGTGCCTCCACAACGGTGGCACACATGTCTGTCAGGTTTCAGGTTAGTACATCGATCGATGTTGTTTAAGTAGAAATGGGAACGGCAAAGTAATCTGATAACGAAATAACCTCATTCCGTCTTCCGTGGTGTTCGGGCCAGTGATTGCCAGGTGCGTCTAAAAAGAGTAACAGGGGAAACCAGGTGTCTAATAGTAAAGGTTTAATCAGCCAGAAAAGCAAGATCAAACAGTTGATATTGCCAAATAAAAAAGTAATTAGCGCTCCGTCTTAGAAATGCACCATTCTCCAAAAACTTATACAAGCTATTCTCCACCAGAATATGCGTAAGTCAGGTGAAAGTTTATACAGGGCTTTTAACACAATTCTGTTCGTTTATTTGTTCTAACTAGTGCACCAAAAGCTCCGCAGTGTGTTGCCAGATTGCCGCTTTACGGCTGTCAGTGCAGAACAAAACAGCGAGATGGGCGAGATGGCCCAAGTGGTTAGAGCGCGAATTTACTGACCGGAAGGTCCGTGGTTCGAATCCGACCCCCGCCACTCGACTTCCCCTGTCTAGGCTTGGGCAACCTGGCAGTATCCCAGCCCTCGTGCTTCCTTCAGGTGGCATGGCAGCTAGGCACCGGAAGGGTGCTACAGCTGAACGCTTTCTTCTACGGGGCGCATTTATTAGTGGACTTTATTCGAAGCTATACTCCAGAGACTGTTGGAACATGAGTCATTGTATTTTAAAACCGCCTGCGGCTATGCAAAATCCCTTGAACTAGCGCGAAAACAGTCGCTGTCGTTTTTACCGAACAATCGACTCCCCTGTGCTACCGTATCGAACGACCCGCCGAAGTATTCACATTCTCGAGCATCACCGCATGAACAGACGACTGCTGCTAGTGTGAGGGCCTTCATGTTTCTTCTGTAGCTATGTCCGTCACCCGCGTAATAAATGCCCCGCTAAAGCTGCGACCTGCAAAAACTGTGGGAAGAAAAGGCATTTCCAAAAGGCATGCAGATCTTCCACTGGTCCGCGGAACACCTCATCTGATTCAACTGCACTATCTTGCGTCACTGCAGCGGTTTCCGAGTGTCTCAAAGAAGCCGTCACCGATGAGAAAGCCAATGGCGTCCCACTTCGAGCTCTTGTTGATAATGGTAGCTCAGAAAGTTTTATTTCCAAACATGCAGTCCGGCTTAACAAGCGGTCTATACTGCCATCGTCATCTGGGACCACTTTGGCATCCATCCGGCACAAAAGCTTTACTCTTGTACATCGCTTTCTAACGTTACAACACAAACACAACAAGTATCCCTCTTTCAAGTTTTCAGTATTACGTGACCTCTGTACGGATATTCTGCTAGGACGCGATTTTCTTAGGCTTCATAAATAACTGGAAATTTAATTCAATGGTGGCATACCTTCTTTCTCCCTGTGGCCCAATTGTTGTCAAAATTGAACCTCTCACTTTGTTTGAGCATCTTGATCTAAGGTGTAAGCCCATTAACATCAAGTCCAGACGACATTCTACAGACGACCAGGTCTTCATTGCTTCTGAAGTAAAGCGATTACTAGGCCAACAAATAAGTGAACCCTCAAAGTCATCAAAGAAAGCGCAAGTGCTCGTCACGACAGATAAACGACAGAAGAAACGAATGGTGGTTGACTATAGTCAAACTATGAAACGATTTACGCAACTGGACGCTTATGCGCTCCCCAGACTTGACGATATGAGTAGTAAAATAGCTCAATATCCTATTTTCAGTACGCTTGATCTTGGAAGTGCGTATTATCAAATACGGATTAGGAAAAGTGACAATCTACACGGCTTTTGAGGTTTGCGACGATCTTTATCGATTCCGTCGAATACCTTTCGAAGTCACGAGTGGAGTAGCGTTTTCAAAGAGTAGTGGATGACATAATACGCACTGGACAAAAACCTACCGGGACATATGCGTACATGCATAATGCCACCATTTGTGGAAAGGAGCAAGAACACGATCAAAACCTCCAGCGTTTTCTAGCAGAAGCACAAAAGTGCGGCCTTCAGTTGAATCACGATAAAACTACAATTTCCACCACTAAACTCAGACCCCTTGGCTATGAAATTACTGAAGGTATCGTCAAACCAAACCACGAACGTTTCAAGGTCTTGCAAGAACTGCCCGTTCCGAAGAACGTAAAGTCTCAACAACGAGTGGTTGGCTTGTTCGCGTACTATTCTAGTTGGATAAGCCGTTTCTCTGAAAAAAAATCTACCCAATCACACAATACAACCTTTCCTGTCCCTGAATATGCTATGAAAGCATTTGAAAGCCTCAAAAAAGAGCTGGTGGATTCAATCTTGGTCAGTGTCGATCAGAGAATACCTTTGGTACTCGAAACTGATGCATCTGACGTTGGGGTTTCCGCTACACTCAATCAGAATGGCAGACCAGTCGCATTCTTCTCACGTACACTGTCTGCCAGTAAAGAAACATCATTCTGCTACTGAGAAAGAAGCGTGCGCAATCGTCGAACAGTGCGCAAATGGAGGCATCACCTACTCGGGACCCAGTTCAAGATTGTAGCCGATCAGCGGTCCGTTGCGTACATGTATTCAACACAACAAAAAGGAACAATAAAAAATGACAAAATTCAAAGATGGCGGATCGAGTTATCGCCTTTTTCTTGACGTAACCTGCAAACCAGGCATAGAAAACAAAGCTGCTGACATGTTCGCTCGGAGTGTCTGCGCGAACACTTCATCTCGGCTGGATCTAAAAGGCTTGCATGCAACTCGGTACGATCCTGGAGCAACATGCATGAAGCCTTTCGTTCGTGTCAGGAATCTTCTGTTCTCCCTAGAGCACATTCGACTTGTCATTAAGCAGTCTCATGTGCGCGCGGAATTAAAACCACATTTTTCAGGTTATGTGGTGGTACCCTCACTAAAGCCGTACAAACGTTGGAACGTTTAAGCATTGATTTCAAGGGACTACTGCCTTCGACCACTCGAAACAAATATCTATTGACGGTTGTAGATGAGTATTCCTGTTTTTCGTTGGCCTATGCTTGTTCACATATAAGTTCGCCTACGGTGATAACATGCCTTGTGCGGCTCTTCGTTACATTTGCCCTGCCCAGTTTTGCGCATTCGGATCGCGGATAGCCCTTCATTTCTTCATGAAGAAGACGTTGCCACTAGTCGGACCACTCCATATAACCCAATGGGGAACGGTCAGGTGGAACGATTTAATGGAAGTTTGTGGAAAGCTATTACGCTTTCGTTACAATTAAAGGTCTTCAAAGCAGTCGTTAGGAAACTCTTTTACAAGACGCCCTCCATTCGATTTGTTCCTTGTTGTGCACCGCCACCAGTGCCACTCCAGACGAGCGGCCGTTGCTTACAGAGAAAGCCTTAGAAATCTACTGGCACTCTGCCATTCTTCAAGCTCCTGATTATCCGGTGTTTGAGGGATCTGCATGCGTCAACCTAGTCGCTAGATGCTGGTATGACCTTGGTGATAGCAATAAAATCTGCTGATCTCAAAGATATGCAGTGTTCACTTGGTCGAGTCAGATAGCCTGGACAAACAGTTCCGAAGGCTGAGAACATCGCTTCTTTGATTCACCTCCATTCAATCCCCAAGCAATCTTCATCATCCGCCTGACTGTGCGTTTCCATTAGCTTTCTAGCCTGATCAGCCCGATACTCTTCAGCTGCTGAAACTTGTCAAAGTTGATGGACAAGGTTGCTCTCCTTCGGCACGCATAATGTGAAAAAAGCGGAGAACTAAGGGGGCCCGCACGATGGCATAATCAGAGTGAAGTTGCGTACCCCAGAAAGAACGACCAACCTTAAAGGAGTTTCTCCATCGGTAACTGATGGCCATATGGTCCAATTGAGTCCACGAATGTCTTGTGGTACGTGGCCTCCAAGTAACCAGATGTAAGCGTTTGCATTGGAAGTTTGTACTGGCCATCAACAGACGATGATCTGTACACATTTGAAGAAGCCGCCCCCAGTAACCGTACGCAAAGCAGAGACTCCAAATCTACCACCTAACTATACTTCTTCCGGACTTCGTCGTCCAACTTGGGTGTTCGTATCACCCCCAGGATTATTATATCCGTCTTTCTTTCCAACTGAAGCAGTCGTGACAGACCTTCATAAAACTCATCCTTCTCAGTCTCAGAACTGCAACCTGTTGGAGCGCATGCTGATAAGACAAACAAACACCATTTACTGCAACGACCTGCGGCAATCTTAATTAAGCCAGACAACCGCACAGCGCAAAGGCGACTGTTTGCTGGGATCCAGCCCAGTAAGACAGCTTCGGCCTTGCGGCTAAGCGCAACTCCCATACGGTAGACACCACGAGTCTTCGCGCCAGAACCGCCAGATCAGCTGCGGCAGCCTTGCGGTGTCTGACTGCCATGCCACACGAAGGTTGCACGAGGGTTGGGATATTGTCAGGTTGCCCAAACCTATACAGAGTCGACAGGCAGAGGTTGGGTTCGAAACACGGTCCATCCGCGCTCTAACCACTTGACCTTCTCGCCCCCAGGATCACCACATACCCGAATGGTGAAATGTGAAACATCTGGGCTAGTCCTAAGCGACCTGAGGAGCACGACCAACGTGGGATCTTGTATGCGTGTTCCGAAGACACAACATACATCGATAGAGGGAAGGCAAGGGTTCGGCAAGGGATGTCCGTTGTCCGATTTGACATAGGGTACGGACACTAAAGGCTGCAACGTGGGTCAGATCTTCTGAAGTTAGTAGGTGATTATTTTGGTTTACTTTTCTGGGCGAAGGTTTAGGCACGGAATAGTGGCTAGGGGGTTTGCAGATGGGTTGACTGCACTATACTGTAAGATGGGTTGGGAGAGAATGAGGGGAGAGGTCGGTGAGCGAAGAGCTGCAAGGGCAATTGATACTTCCGGTTGCCCAGGCCGAATAAGGGGGTCAGTTGAGGTACCGCACCTTGAGCCTTTGACTCAAACATTTTATCGACAAGACAGTGAGAGGGTGTGGGGTTTTGTTTGGGGGCCCTGCCCCTGGCCCCTGACTCAGAAGTCTGAATCGCGAGACAGCGGTCGTCAGGGTTTTCTGGAGGGATCCTTCCCGGAGACAACAGTCTGACCCACTTGGTTGCAGGGGCCTGGGAGTAAGGCGTTACCTGCTGCGCGCGGCAGGTGCCTTTTGAGAAGCACCAGACTCTTTGGTTTTAAAAGTATTTTGACCGTACCCAATGGTGCGCCGACGGTCACAGTCAACCGGTGGGTGATGGAAGAGTACGGTTTCTGAGGCGACCTTTTCTGACCCATCCTTCCTCGAGGGAAGGTAGCATCGCTGCTTCCATAAATATGGACATGCTGGTCACCTGAAGTAAACGCCTTACTGCCTTCACACTCCTATCGCGGAAGATAGTAGAACTTTACCTCCAGACCGCCTCGCAATACGATTACTCAGAGTACGGGTACTCGATGTTCTTCGTCGGGCTACTCCCCGTTGGCCTTCCTGACATTGTTCAACCTTTGGGAACTGAGTTCCTGTTAGTATAACCTGCAAGGTCACTTCGGCACAGAAGCTCGACCACCACGATAAGGTGACAGTTTTGGTCGGGGCCCATCAGTGTCCCCGCAGGATATTAAAAGTTAGCCAGATTTGGCGAGCACGAAGAGAAGAGGTCTGTAAGCGGACGCCTGATGGCGAGGCAAAATCGGTAGGGAAAAAGGAGCATACCTAGCTAAGGCCGTTGAGGTACACATTGAGCATGCCAAACCGCCGGCTATCCAATAAAGTCTTGTTTTCCATACCAAGAGATTGGTTGGGGCAGACTACGAGGAGATACGTCATGACACTGCAAAGTGAAATGGAACCAGCCACAGTAAGACCAAAGCCTGTGAGATTTTCGTCACTTTGTGCCTCCGAACCATGAGATCCCGCTTGCACGTAGCTGCAAAACCTGCAACGTGTGACACAACCACACATAACACACATGGGTTACCCAGCCTGACATCTACTCTTCCTGGGCAGCTCCCATTGTTGTGGCCAAGAAGACTAATACGCCAGGATTTGCACACATGGGTTACCCAGCCTGACATCTACTCTTCCTGGGCAGCTCCCATTGTTGTGGCCAAGAAGACTAATACGAATACCAGGATTTGTGCTGAGTTTAACTCACACCAGTATCCCCTCCCAGTTCCCGCTTACCAAACTCAATGTTAGCACTTGATTTGATAAACTCGATTTGCCTGATTCCTACTTACAAATCGAGGTTGAAAATGGTTCAGAGGATCTTCTAACAGTTAACACGCACCGTGGTCTCTTCGGGTTCATCATCATCATCATCACCATCATCATCATCGACAGCATGACATCAGTGTTCAACACTGATGCTT